GGACACACTGGCCTCCAGCCCCCACCCTGGGCTCACTTACAGTCCCTGGCATCCCAGGACACCTCTGCCTCCCCAGCATCCCTGTGCTGGCTGCTGTTCTCATGGTGACCCAACATTGTCCCTTCTCCTGGCACCTTTAAGGAAGAGTGTCCCCCTGCTCAGCAGCCACCTGTGTCCCCACACTGCTCACAGATTCCTCCTCTCCCCCAACCACATCCTGCACCCAGAGCTCTGGCAGGCAGCACAAGGACCTCCTGGTCCCCCAGGCTAAAGCAGGCAGGACAGGGACAGATGCACGTGAGGAAGCACCTCTGGCTGGACAACACCACTAGCTCCATCCTCAGATGCCAAGAGCCTCCTGCAGCTGAACATCACCCAGGACAAAAAAAAATATGAAGGCAAGAGTAATGAGGATGAAGGCAAGAATAATGAGGATGGAGTCATTCCCAGATCTGAACAGGCTGAGTCTTTGAAGTGAAGTCCAAGAAGGCAAGAGCTTGAGGGCATCCAAGACTAGAAAAGGATCCCTGAGCACAGAGAGCCCAAGCATGGTGCCCGTGGCCACCAGGGCCACCACTGCCTCTGGCCCTGCTACAGCTGATGGCAGAGCCTTCTCCCTGAGCACTCCTTGTCCTAGATTATAAGCCCTGGAGACTGGCAGGGTACAGAGTTGTAACTATTAGCTGATGCCCCCACTAAGCTGCCTGCTGGAAGAGATCTCTGCTGCAGCACAGGCAGCTCTCCCCCCTTCCCTGCCAGGCTGCAGCGTGAGCACTGCCCTGATCCTTCTGCTCCTTTGGCACCTGGAAAGGATCAGGAGGTTGTTTTCCCCCCTGGGTGGCTCCTGGGGAGCTGCTCATCCTTGTGCAGTGATCCAAGCAGGTTTCCATGCTCTCTGATAGTCAGAGACCAATTCAGCTCGGTGCCCCATGGCAGAGGGATGGGCAGCAGGGACATGCACCTATGTAGACTTGGATGCTAAACCCCTCTTAAGGAGTGTTGCTGTTGTGCATTTTTAGCTGAAACCCCCTCCTCACTCTGCCAGAGGAGCAAGAGATGAGATGAGCTACACCAGAAGGCCTCATAATCTCAGGTGGTCCCCACTGCCTCCTGTAATGAATGACATGGGCTGGAGCTGGGATACCTGCACTTCACAGGATCAAAACCCAGAGCACAGCCTGTGGCAGGCAATTTCCCTTCTGCTATTGACATGCAAATCATTGCTGCAGTAGCTCATGGTTTTAATATATTTCCAGACTGCCTGGTGTGGAGTCACATCAGTCAAGTCTATGTGGCAGTTGGGCCAAAATGACTCTTATTACAGAGTGAGCATTTTCACCTCAGCTTCAAGGACAGGCTGGAGAGGAGTCTGCAGCCACTTGGCTTCCTCCTCCCCCTGCCCCTCCAAGGCAGGGAGTGCCACGGGCCCTGGGGACTGAGACCAAGAGGCCAAGAAGTCCCTACTGAGGCTGGCTGGTAGACACAGACTGAAGTCCCCAAGAAATGTCCTCTCCAAACTTGTGGTTTTGTGTGACTGCAGCTTCCTACAGCCCTCAACTTCCGTAAAGCTGCTGGTTTGTGCTCCAGGCAGCAAGAACAGGAACTGACACCAGAAACAATGTTTTCTCACACACGATATGCTGGGGTTTTCCTCAATAGGTTTCATATTTGCTCTCTGTTCTCCACAGCTCCCAGCACCATGACTGAAAGCTGGAGCACCATGACAAGTGCTGGAGTGTGGAGGCATCCGTGTCCACCTCCATCCCTGCCTGGGGACAGTGCAGGCCCAGAAGCCACCACTGGCTTGGGATGGTTGGTTCTGTGCCCAAAGCCTTCCAGACCTTCCCACCAGCAGCAATTCACAGCTGACAGAAACTCTGCTGATCACCAGTGCAATAACGAGAGAGCTTTTCTTCCACACGGGTGGGACCCTTATTCCCTTCTCCCCTCTAAACTGCATTCCTCATTATACCCAGAGCTGCAGAGTGGCTTTGCTGGGGACCTGCTGCTTGAAACAGGCTTATTGGGCTGATGTCAGAACAGCTCTGTCCCAGCTTAGCTGAAATAACACCCTGCTCAGCTTCACTATTGCTTTCAAAGTTTTCCTTTTGTCCATTTATTCCCAGTACCGCAAACCAATCTGTCTGAGAAGCTCATTCCTCATTATTTGTTGAGAGATCCAACAAAGCCCTCTGTTCCTGCTGCCTCTCAGAGCTTTGTTTTCAGCTATATTCAGTCTTCTGTTTGTGCTTCTCAATGTTTGCTCTAAGAGCTTTAAATTGCTCACTTAGCCTTGAACCCTTTCACTGACTTTGGTTTGCAGCTAGAAGAAGTAATCACCACGGTGCAATCTAGCTCTTGCTTTTTGCTTACTCCTCTGTTTTCTCTTTAATTAAGCAATCCCTGTGGCCCTTGCACTGGGTTCCAGGACGTGGTTTCCACTTGCCCTTCAAACAGTGCAGCAGAGAATGGCAAAACTGTTTGTCACAACAACCTTGCTGTGACCGGGGTGACAGCTTTACCACCAGGCGTTTGATCTCTTACTTGCCCATCTGTTCGTTGATTAAAATCCCACACTTCAATATGCAATCCTGCCTCCCCCTCCAGGAGCTTCTCCTGACAACGAGACCCTCATACAAGCCAAGGAGCCTTCCCCATGTGTTGCTGCTCCTCAAGGCCACCACCACCTCCACATTGCCTGACCCAAGGGCAACCAGCGGCAAACAAGCCTCAAGGACACTGCCCAGGAAAGAAAAGAGATGAAACCCAGGATGGAGGGGGACAGAAAGGGGCCACCATCATGGCAAGGCTGGTGGGGGATGCTGGGGCTGCAGGACTTCACCTCCAGCCACTCACCCGGCTCAGGGCTGGAAGGGGAGAGCAGAGAAATCCTTCCTTTGGCAAAGATTATTCACACACACACCCTTCCATTAACATGTGGCCCAGGAAAGCCAGAGAGAAACAACAGGAACGTTTCTGCCTTATCACATCTTCCAAAGGCACATCAGGTGAGATTGTCACCAGGACCAGCCCAGCTCTGGGTGAGCTTCAGGGAAGCTGGAGGGCTGTGCCTCCAGCCACCCTCCCACCTCCTCAGCAACACAGCCCAAAAAGGAGATGTGTATCCCAGTACAAAGCGTTCCAGAAGGAAACCAGAGCCTTAAGAGATGCTTTTCACGATCTCTGCCGCTAAAAGCAGGTTTAAAGGTCCAGGAGGGGCTGCATCTCGCTGGAGGGGTCTCCGGAGCAGCGAGATGAGCCAGTGCCACCTGCCGGCTGCAGGGACTGCCACTGCCACCCCTTCCACCTGCCACTGAGGAACAAGAAGCAGCTTCGTCTCCCATCACACGACAGAGATGCTTCCTGCATCCCCCTGCCACGCTGTGTCCAAGTGCACGGCCCGTGGCTGAGGCTGCAGGTGGGACCCCCTTGGCACAGCCCTGGCTCCAGCCGTGCCCAGCCATGCCAGGAGCTGCCAGGGAGCCCCGGTGGGACAAACCCGGGGCTGCAGCTCCAGCCTCTCACAGCCCTGCTCCCTCCCACCATCCCCGCTAGCATCTCCCTTCACTATCCCCAGCAAAACCAGAACTAGCCGGGATGTGGGATGCACTGGCAGCCCTGGCCAGGACCCACGCTGAGGAAGAGCTGCAGAAATGCCAGGTCTCAGCAGAGCTCCAGGCAGCCCAGGGGCAGCTCGGCTGCCTCAGCTCCCAGGCACCAGCAAGGAGCACACCGAGGCTGCTGAGGAGCTGGGCTGAGATGCCAGCTACTCCTGGCTATCTCCTCCCTGGGATCAGATGTAATGGGTGAACAGGTTCTTAAATGTGCTCCTCACCATTTTTCAATGGAAAACACCTCCCGACTCCCTCATCCTTCTGCAACGAGGCTCAGGCACCGTGTCACTGGCACTCAGGGAAACACACATCTCTGTCCAGGCTTCCTCTTGGAGGGCAGAGAGATTTGCTCAACCTTCAAATGCTCATTATCCCTCAAGCTTAACAGGCTGTGACGGGCTCCGAACGGCTGGAGGGCAATT